ATGTGTGGGTTGTGTGGTGGTGGGAGATGTGTGGGTTGTGTGGTGGTGGATGTGTGGGTTGTGTGGTGGTGGGAGCTGGGAGCTGGGTGGGTTGTGTGGTGGTGGGAGATGTGTGGGTTGTCTGGTGGTGGATGTGTGGGTTGTGTGGTGGTGGGAGATGTGTGGGTTGTGTGGTGGTGGGAGATGTGTGGGTTGTCTGGTTGTTTGGAGATGTGTGGGTTGTGTGGTGGTGGGAGATGTGTGGGTTGTGTGGTGGTGGGAGATGTGTGGGTTGTGTGGTGGTGGATGTGTGGGTTGTGTGGTGGTGGGAGCTGGGAGCTGGGTGGGTTGTGTGGTGGTGGGAGATGTGTGGGTTGTGTGGTGGTGGGAGATGTGTGGGTTGTGTGGTGGTGGGAGATGTGTGGGTTGTGTGGTGGTGGGAGCTGGGTGGGTTGTGTGGTGGTGGGAGATGTGTGGGTTGTGTGGTGGTGGGAGATGTGTGGGTTGTGTGGTGGTGGGAGCTGGGAGCTGGGTGGGTTGTGTGGTGGTGGGAGATGTGTGGGTTGTGTGGTGGTGGGAGATGTGTGGGTTGTGTGATGGTGGGAGATGTGTGGGTTGTGTGGTGGTGGGAGATGTGTGGGTTGTGTGGTGGTGGGAGATGTGTGGGTTGTGTGATGGTGGGAGATGTGTGGGTTGTCTGGTGGTGGGAGATGTGTGGGTTGTGTGATGGTGGGAGATGTGTGGGTTGTGTGGTGGTGGGAGCTGGGTGGGTTGTGTGGTGGTGGGAGATGTGTGGGTTGTGTGGTGGTGGGAGCTGGGTGGGTTGTGTGGTGGTGGGAGATGTGTGGGTTGTGTGGTGGTGGGAGATGTGTGGGTTGTGTGGTGGTGGGAGATGTGTGGGTTGTGTGGTGGTGGATGTGTGGGTTGTGTGGTGGTGGGAGCTGGGTGGGTTGTGTGGTGGTGGGAGATGTGTGGGTTGTGTGGTGGTGGGAGCTGGGTGGGTTGTGTGGTGGTGGGAGATGTGTGGGTTGTGTGGTGGTGGGAGATGAGTGGGTTGTGTGGTGGTGGGAGCTGGGTGGGTTGTGTGGTGGTGGGAGATGTGTGGGTTGTGTGGTGGTGGGAGCTGGGTGGGTTGTCTGGTGGTGGGAGATGTGTGGGTTGTGTGGTGGTGGGAGATGTGTGGGTTGTGTGGTGGTGGGAGCTGGGTGGGTTGTGTGGTGGTGGGAGATGTGTGGGTTGTGTGGTGGTGGGAGATGTGTGGGTTGTCTGGTGGTGGGAGATGTGTGGGTTGTGTGGTGGTGGGAGATGTGTGGGTTGTGTGGTGGTGGGAGATGTGTGGGTTGTGTGGTGGTGGGAGATGTGTGGGTTGTGTGGTGGTGGATGTGTGGGTTGTCTGGTGGTGGGAGATGTGTGGGTTGTGTGGTGGTGGGAGATGTGTGGGTTGTGTGGTGGTGGGAGATGTGTGGGTTGTGTGATGGTGGGAGATGTGTGGGTTGTGTGATGGTGGGAGATGTGTGGGTTGTGTGATGGTGGGAGATGTGTGGGTTGTGTGGTGGTGGGAGATGTGTGGGTTGTGTGGTGGTGGGAGATGTGTGGGTTGTGTGGTGGTGGGAGATGTGTGGGTTGTGTGGTGGTGGGAGATGTGTGGGTTGTGTGGATGGTGGGAGATGTGTGGGTTGTGTGGTGGTGGGAGATGTGTGGGTTGTGTGGTGGTGGGAGATGTGTGGGTTGTGTGGTGGTGGGAGATGTGTGGGTTGTGTGGATGGTGGGAGATGTGTGGGTTGTGTGGATGGTGGGAGATGTGTGGGTTGTGTGGTGGTGGGAGATGTGTGGGTTGTGTGGATGGTGGGAGATGTGTGGGTTGTGTGGTGGTGGGAGATGTGTGGGTTGTGTGGTGGTGGGAGATGTGTGGGTTGTGTGGTGGTGGATGTGTGGGTTGTCTGGTGGTGGGAGATGTGTGGGTTGTGTGGTGGTGGGAGATGTGTGGGTTGTGTGGTGGTGGGAGATGTGTGGGTTGTGTGGTGGTGGGAGATGTGTGGGTTGTGTGGTGGTGGGAGATGTGTGGGTTGTGTGGTGGTGGATGTGTGGGTTGTCTGGTGGTGGGAGATGTGTGGGTTGTGTGGATGGTGGGAGATGTGTGGGTTGTGTGGATGGTGGGAGATGTGTGGGTTGTGTGGTGGTGGGAGATGTGTGGGTTGTGTGGTGGTGGGAGATGTGTGGGTTGTGTGGATGGTGGGAGATGTGTGGGTTGTGTGGTGGTGGGAGATGTGTGGGTTGTGTGGTGGTGGGAGATGTGTGGGTTGTGTGGATGGTGGGAGATGTGTGGGTTGTGTGGTGGTGGGAGATGTGTGGGTTGTGTGGTGGTGGATGTGTGGGTTGTCTGGTGGTGGGAGATGTGTGGGTTGTGTGGATGGTGGGAGATGTGTGGGTTGTGTGGATGGTGGGAGATGTGTGGGTTGTGTGGTGGTGGGAGATGTGTGGGTTGTGTGGTGGTGGGAGATGTGTGGGTTGTGTGGATGGTGGGAGATGTGTGGGTTGTGTGGTGGTGGGAGATGTGTGGGTTGTGTGGTGGTGGGAGATGTGTGGGTTGTGTGGTGGTGGGAGATGTGTGGGTTGTGTGGTGGTGGGAGCTGGGTGGGTTGTGTGGATGGTGGGAGATGTGTGGGTTGTGTGGTGGTGGGAGATGTGTGGGTTGTGTGGTGGTGGGAGATGTGTGGGTTGTGTGGTGGTGGGAGATGTGTGGGTTGTGTGGTGGTGGGAGATGTGTGGGTTGTGTGGTGGTGGGAGATGTGTGGGTTGTGTGGTGGTGGATGTGTGGGTTGTCTGGTGGTGGGAGATGTGTGGGTTGTGTGGATGGTGGGAGATGTGTGGGTTGTGTGGATGGTGGGAGATGTGTGGGTTGTGTGGTGGTGGGAGATGTGTGGGTTGTGTGGTGGTGGGAGATGTGTGGGTTGTGTGGATGGTGGGAGATGTGTGGGTTGTGTGGTGGTGGGAGATGTGTGGGTTGTGTGGTGGTGGGAGATGTGTGGGTTGTGTGGTGGTGGGAGATGTGTGGGTTGTGTGGTGGTGGGAGATGTGTGGGTTGTGTGGATGGTGGGAGATGTGTGGGTTGTGTGGTGGTGGGAGATGTGTGGGTTGTGTGGTGGTGGGAGATGTGTGGGTTGTGTGGTGGTGGGAGATGTGTGGGTTGTCTGGTGGGAGATGTGTGGGTTGTGTGGATGGTGATTTTGTGGAGGTACGTCAATAGTTTTGCAATCCTATCTTTTAATTTAAATTATTTAAGACAATGCCTGAGTAGATGAAGACAGTGTCAATGACAGAGATTGTTTGAATGATACCCATTAACCGTCATACTACTAAAACCATTTCAGTTACAGAAGACCCATGATTGTTTGAATGATACCCATTAACCGTCATACTACTAAAACCATTTCAGTTACAAAAGACCCATGATTGTTTGAATGATACCCATTAACCGTCATACTACTAAAACCATTTCAGTTACAAAAGACCCATGATTGTTTGAATGATACCCATTAACCGTCATACTACTAAAACCATTTCAGTTACAGAAGACCCTTACGACATCCATATCCATCTCCCACTTAGCCTACAATCCTTTTCCCACCCTCCCTACCACAAAAACATCACAATCACACCACAAGCCTACATCACAATCTTCGTAAAAACCAATTGAAGCCGTACTATTCAACTACATCATACTGGGGAATGCCATTTTCTTTTGCTATTGAATTTGGAAACAGCAAATATTGGTGGCAATAGCTGGTGGTCAGCTTAGCGTGACTCAGCTAGCATTGGTCAGCCGCATGACCAGCCTGAAGGCTACCTGCATCAGGTGTGACTCAGCTAGCATTGGTCAGCCACATGACCAGCCCGAAGGCTACCTGCATCAGGTGTGACTCAGGTGTGGGGAATGTCTAAGTTTACGGAGCAGTCACCCCCAACAAGACTAGCACAGTAGAACACCTGACGTGACCTGACACAAAGGATCCTCCAGGCGAGACAACAATCATGCAAATACCACTTTAGAGCATGCAGTAAAGCCCATTGCTGGCCATACAATCATTCACAGACCCCCATCACAACAATCGCTGAGACACACAACTGAGACACCCAGCTGAGACACCCAACTGAGACACACAGGCCATGACAATGGAACATGATCCATCCATTTTAACCTCGATATTTTTAATGACAGATACAATCTTAAATGGATAGTTTCCTGTTAAGCCTTCAAACAGGATATAAGGAATGCAATCTTATATTGATAAGATGATACCTAAATTTTTCCATAATGGTGGTTTCATTGAGTTTCAGGCTTAACTGGAAACTATCCATGTGTCAGTTGGACTATCCAGTATTTCTGTGTATGGAGCTTGGTATGGAAGAGAAGGAAAAGCTCATGTTGTTCTCTCTCTCTCACCACAACCCAACGGCATCCTACAAGTAGTCCCTACACAAACATAAACCCTAACATGAGCAGGGTTCTTGTAGACTATACATAAACGTAGTGTGATCCCTAGGTGTTGGGCCTACTATTGGCCTGTCTGTTTACTGGACATGAAAAGCAAAATGTTCCTCTACAAACATGGCAGAAGCAGTGACAGACTACATACAATACTGCTACTGGTGAACAGCGCTTGGAGACTGACACATGGATACAGACAGACATTGAGACAGACATACATACATACATACATACATGGACACAGACACATGGACACATAATCACATGACACTGACATACATGGAGATCTGTATAACACATAAATGGACACAAAGATACAGAGAAACATGGGCACACAAACACATGACACACAAACACACAAGACTCAAACACACGAGACACAAACACATGAGACACAAACACACACGACACAAACACATGATACACAAACACATGAGGCACAATAAAATGTTGGTTACAACACTTCTACTGACACTAGACAGAGAGACTGATGCAAGAGAAAATGTTACAATATCAATGTAGCATCATTTACCTCTTCCACTTCAGCTTGCTAATGTTAATTAAACAAGAAAGTTAAGTCAGACAACAAAAGTAGACAACTAGAACAACAGAATGTAGTTTATAATGTGGTGAAATGGGTTTTAATAAGTAGAGAGCTTGTTGATGAGGGGAAATCAAACAAAGGGAAAGTTTGACCAGAGGAAAACTTTGTTTCATCCTTTAAAGTGTTTGACTGATACTCAGGACTTTGTCAGAATTTATACCTTTAAAGTTACTGACAATGATATGGGGTCATAACTGTGGGAACAATTGGTTAAACAAAATATAATTAAGAAGGGGTTTAAAAATAAATTGAAAGGGGTCATAACATTTTAAAATGTGGGAATCAATTTTTACACAAAACATACTTTAAGAGGAGTTTAATGATCAAATCAAAGGGTTACTACTGATTATAAGAAGTATGTTATCCATAAAGGAAGGGTTAGAAGATGAAACTAAATGAACAGGTTAGAATAACTTAAAAGGGAGGAAACAAAAGGAGTTGTAAGAAAAAAATCAGCCTACCCTGAATAGACAGGCGAGCGGTCAACCAGAACGTTGTCGGGGTCAAAGCTGGTGCTGAAGGAACTCCCACTGTAGGAGCTGAAGCGGTTGGCCTCACTGGTCACTGGGAGCCTGCTGGACGTGGGCGGGGCAGCGCTGTACATGGCGTTGAAGGACTGGCTGGTGATCTGGGCGTCCATGTAATCCTTGAAACACGATCAGCTCAGTTAGAGGCAGTCGTTAGCTTTACACCTACACTTTCTTCTCTCACAATATTTCTTCATGCTTTTATTTCAACTTAATTGTTATGCTTTATTCACCCCTATTATTTTTTTTCTTACTTATAAAAAGCATACAATATTGCATTTATAAAAACTAACTACACAAATTTTCTAACTTATAAAAAAACTATATCAAACTTAAAATGTATCATCTTTAAACAGTTAGTACTTAAAATGTATCATCTTTAAACAGTATATTTATTTAATTTTAAATTTAAATAATGTTAAAATTATGTTTGTAATTTAATGTAATCAAATAGTTAAAACATCTCAATTATCTTGTCAAATAGACACCAATTTAATGACTTTTTTTTTTAAAATAGTGACCATCATCTAATTAAAATTATTAAATCATCTAATTAAAATTATTAAAGCTTCACTAGCTAACAACATAAATTAATAAATGAAAGGAAATAATGGTCAAGTCCAAACTAAGTTGAGTAAAGCTCCCATAATGTGATAGCCAAGGGTATACAGTTTATAAGCAAGTGAGAAGAAGCTTTTGTAAAGGGTTGAGCAGCCTCTGCCTGGATTAGATACATCCAAATATGTAGGTGTACAGGTACATTTGTCTTAACAGAGGTACAGGTAGATACATGACATGAGAGAAACAGGTATAGGACATTGGAGGAACAGGTAGATACATGACATTAGAGAAACAGGTAGACAAATGACATGAGAAAAACAGGTAGATGACATTAGATGAACATTTGAGAAACATGTAGATTCATGACATCAAAGGAACATATAGATTGGTGTCATTAGAGAAACAGGTAGATAAATGACATTTGGAGAAACAGTTAGATAAATGTCATTAAAGAACAGATAGATACAGACACATGACATTTGGAGAAACAGGTAGATACATGTCATTAAAGAACAGATAGATACAGACACATGACATTTGGAGAAACAGGTAGATACATCTAAATGTGTAAGAAGATGTTAAATTTGTAGTATATTATTGAATGTTTACTTTCTTTTATTGAAAGTGTTTTACCTGTGATTGAATTAAGTCCAAAACATTTCCACAACTACAGTAATGGTTGGAATGTTGTTTACAACAATTTTTTTACTTGTAAATATAAACAAAATTTATAAGGCATGACTAGCTGGCAGTAGAAATAAAGACATTTTTGTTTAGTTTTCTTTTGTTATAAACTATTGGCATTTACATTGGTCTCAGGAATATCTGCTATTCTTTTTTTTAATTTCAGTTTAATAAATGTAGTTAATGAATGTACTTGATTAATGTACTTGATGAATGTATTTCAAAGAATATTGTTGTGGGAATAAACAACATCAGCATAACTAGACCATGCAACATTCGTAGATCATAAACCCACATAAACCCAACAAAAACTTAAGCCAGTAATTTAATAATTATGTTGTACTGATGTCAATTTTATCATTAACTTAATATCTAATTTGTCATTCATTAAATTCATGTGTAATAAAATATAACTTTTATCAATGTGTAATTAATTAAATTAATTGCAAGCAGTTTTCAAGAGATGTGAAGCATGATTATAAAGTGAAGATTATACACAGTTTTTAAAAAATTATCAAGTCGTAACTTTAGCGAAGAATACAGTTTTGAAGCCTTCAGACTGCTAATGTCAAATGGTTAGTCAAGGAAATTTCTGAGTTAGTGAAAAAAATAAGTTGATTAAATGGGCTCAACTAATGGTTGAGAAGCTGAAAGAGGTATGTAGCAAGGGGATCTATCATCTGTGAGAAACAAAAATTGGGAAAGCTGAAAATTGATTAATTTAAAAGCTGATGTTTTAAAAAAATGTTAGATTTTCTATCACCCAAAGCAAATGATAGGGTAAAGTGTATCTCAATAAAATCTGAGGCTTTACTTGCACTGTTTCCTTCAGCTCAGAGGTTGGGGTGGAGTCATCTATCAGGTCAGTTGTGTCAAAGTTTCTGCTCTCCGAGCTGGGAGACAGAGAAATCTGACCCTGATAGACCACACTCGGGGGCTCCCAGGTGCTCTGGGAAACTTTGATGGAGTCAACCTTCTGGTCTACAGAGCTGGAGTTTCTCTTCTCCGTGCTGGGAGGTTCAGAAACCTGACTCTGATAGACCTCGCTCTGATAGGCCTGACTCTGAGGCTCCCATGTAGTTTGAGAAACTGCGATGGAATCATCCGGGAAGTCCACAGTGTCAGAGTTTCTGTCCCCTGTGCTGGGAGACTTGGAAATCTGACCCTGATAGACCACACTTTGGCGCTCCCAGCTTCCATGTGAAACTGAAGAGTTCCAGCTTTTTGGAGATGTTAGCTCTGGCGCTTTCTTCCCATAGCGGAATGATTGGCGTGCATAAATGTCTTCAGCATAGGAATCTTCAGGCTTGTTCTATTGTAAATGTGTTGGTGGTGAATGGAAAAACAAAGTTTTATTTTTTGTTTTGTTTTATAAAAATGTGTGGGTCAAATCCATGTTTTGGATTTGAAGTCACAAGTATGTAGGGAAAGAAAGAACAACAGTAGTTAATTGTCATCAAGACATGCAATAAAGAGATTAAAGCAGATATCTACATTTATACATGAAATATAATCAATAAAACTATAGAAACATTGAGGCATATGGTGAACATGAGGCTATAGGGTACAACACTAGGTCATGCTACACTCATGGTGCAAGAAAACAACTAGAGGACATTCAACTACAAGCAGTTGATTGATGAAGGGGAGGCAATTAAAACTAAAGACATCTTTTCTAAGGAAAAGAAATGATTAACAGCTTTATAACTTAACCAAAATAATTAGTTTTAAACATTCTTTTCAATCATCCAGTAACATTTCCATTATAATTTATTGTGGACATTTTTTGGTTTGAAAAAAAGAGTTTACCTGCCTAAAACTATTTGTATACAATATTTTTCTTAAATCTACCAATGTTATTTATCAGGTCTGATACTTTAAGTCTAACCATATGGGGATGTCTTGTCCCTTTAAGACTTTCCCATTAGACTTGTGTTGTTCTGAATGTAAACACGTATGGGTAAGAGAGGGGGAGATGCAAAGCTTCGACGTGGGTGACTGTTAGTACTCTCTCAAGGCCCGGCTCCATTTACCTTTTTCAAATAAGCATCATCAGCGACCACATATTTCAGATCATCATCTTCAAACAAATCTCCAACGCTATCCCCCACGGAGCGGTCCCTGGTTGCATCCAGATTGAGAGAGTCTCGGTTGGAGCCCAGGGTGGAATAATCCCCAGAATAGAAGACGCTGTCCAACCTAGATTTGTCCTGACTTGTATTCTATGTAAACACAAGCAGTGCAGGCAAGGATGGTCAGGGATTAGCTTACACACACACATGATGGTGACATGAGATCAAGCCTACCATGGAATACTCCGCAGATGTGCTTCAGCCATCAACAACAACACTACAACATCCTAGGGTATTCCACCGTAGGCTTACTAGACAATAACACAATAACACAAAAAAGCGAGACAGCTCAAACCTCATACAGTTTAATTAATATTGATTTTTTTTGTTGAATCTAAAAACATTTTCCAAACCAGGTTTTTAAAACCTAGATGTTTAAAACCTGGATGGGAAAAACTGTATGATATAGAGCTGCCACACAAAAACCATATGAAGCAAATATTGGACACTGACAAGTTATAGTTGAATGAAGATGAACATAAAATAATTGTTTGAAAATATTCTAATACAGGAGGAGGAGGAGTAATGTGGGATGGAAACTACTTCAAAATATTCTTACAATATTTTTTGTAAATTAATGAAATTCTAAAAATTAAGTGTATTAAAAATTGTCAATATAGTATAATTTTTAAAAAGTTAAATATTCGCCAAAGCAGGACAAATATAAAGCATAAAAATGTTTTTAAACAGACAACCAATGTACAAGACAAGGACAGTGTAGGCAGATTATCCACAAGTCATGTCTTCTGTGTAGCCCTGTGTGTTTGTGTGGGTCATTGTGTGGGGCATGCGTTATAAGGCTCATGCTATTAGCATAGCAAACCACACATGGATGGAATACACCTTGTACAGACCATGTTATATGTTCATGCTTGCCACACGTGCTCTATGTCACATTTTGTTTGGAGCTATTTTTCTTGTCCTTTAAAAATAACTGTTTACTGTTAGATAATACATCTTTGTTTTATTTTCACTGAGAACCAGCCAAAAGCAAACTAATAGCTGATGTGTTGTTGTATAGTGTTATTAAACAAGTAAATCACACTTGAATGATAGCTTTAAGCAGATATAAATGTAAGGAATTTTTATTTTTTTATTTTTTTATTTTTAAGGGGAGATAACTTGCAGGGATAACTTATACAAAATTATTCTGTGTAAGCTTTTAGAGAAGCACTCCCTGAATTGACATAGGGGCTAAAAATGTTTCTGTAAAATTTATTTGACTAAGCGCTAGAAAATGTAACTGTAAAACTGATTGTGTAAGTATAAGACCTAGAAAAATGTACTTTCTTGTATCTGAATGAAACGTAACTATCTACAGTTGTCTACTAAAATTGATTTTGTTTTATCTGAAAGAAATGAACCTATCTACAGTTGTCTACTAAAATTGATTATGTTTTATCTGAAAGAAATGAACCTATCTACAGTTGTCTACTAAAATTGATTTTGTTTTATCTGAAAGAAATGAACCTATCTACAGTTGTCTACTAAAATTGATTTTGTTTTATCTGAAAGAAATGAACCCATCTACAGTTGTCTACTAAAATTGATTTTGTATTATCTGAAAGAAATGAACCTATCTACAGTTGTGTTACCTTATCTTTAGGAGACAAGGTATCTCCATGATAATATCTCATTTCCTCCTCATAGTCAGGGTTGGTCTCCAGGTACGATGGGTAATGCATGGTGGCCCCAATTTGGCTCACCTGTCGGCTCTTGTGGTCAACAGCTCGGTGGCGATATTGGACGTCCTATAGTCAGTGTGAGGTGGGAGCAAAACAAAACTAAAAGATTGGACTGTGAAGGGGGAAGGGGGTTTATGCACTGTGTGCTTGCTAGAGAACCACACAGGTAAACAAGATACACACAGTTAGCTGCATCAGGTAAGGCAACAACGCCATCAGTAGCATCAGAACAAAAAAAGCAAGTTTTAATTCTTTTAAAAAAAATGGCATGCTTTTTGGTACGTCAATATGTCATAGCTATTTATAACACTGTATGTTATAAAGCAGATAAAACAAATATTTGGACAAACAGTACGTTATGCTTAAAGTCAGATACAAGATATCACAGGATTATAAGGAAATGCAAGGAAAGATAAATTAGAAACACAAGTAAGGGAGACAACTGAGGTGGACATACAGGAGTCTCTAGGGTTGTGTTCTCATTGCCATTTTAAGTCACTGCACATAGAAGGTGATAGGTTTACATACAGAACAATTGTTGATTTAAGTCACTTGATTTAAGTCACTGTACATAGAAGGTGAGAGGTTTACATACAGAACAATTGTTGATTTAAGTCACTTGATTTAAGTCACTGTACATAGAAGGTGAGAGGTTTACATACAGAACTATTGTTGATTTAAGTCACTTGATTTAAGTCACTGTACATAGAAGGTGAGAGGTTTACATACAGAACTATTGTTGATTTAAGTCACTTGATTTAAGTCACTGTACATAGAAGGTGATAGGTTTACATACAGAACAATTGTTGATTTAAGACACTGTACATAGAAGGTGATAGGTTTACATACAGAACAATTGTTGATATAAGACACTGTACATAGAAGGTGATAGGTTTACATACAGAACAATTGTTGATTTAAGTCACTTGATTTAAGTCACTGTACATAGAAGGTGATAGGTTTACATACAGAACAATTGTTGATTTAAGTCACTTGATTTAAGTCACTGGACATAGAAGGTGATAGGTTAACATACAGAACAATTGTTGATTTAAGTCACTTGATTTTAGTCACTGCACATAGAAGGTGATAGGTTTACATAGAGAACAATTGTTGATTTAAGTCACTTGATTTAAGTCACTGCACATAGAAGGTGATAGGTTTACATACAGAACAATTGTTGATTTAAGTCACTTGATTTAAGTCACTGGACATAGAAGGTGATAGGTATACATACAGAACTATTGTTGATTTAAGTCACTGTACATAGAAGGTGATAGGTTTACATACAGAACAATTGTTAATTTAAGTCACTTGATTTAAGTCACTGGACATAGAAGGTGATAGGTATACGTACAGAACTATTGTTGATTTAAGTCACTGTACATAGAAGGTGATAGGTTTACATACAGAACAATTGTTGATTTAAGTCACTTGATTTAAGTCACTGGACATAGAAGGTGATAGGTATACATACAGAAGATTGTTGATAAAATAGGGATAGAGCATCAACATTCTTCAAGCAAAGTTAAAGTAAAAACAAAAATTTCACAATATTCCAAAACAAAAAATTGCCTAGAAATAGCTGATCAGACTGTTAATATCTTCTTCTTTGCTAAGTTTGGAGTCCTTATATAGACAGATGACAGGGGGACTAACTTCTATAAAAAGGTGACAGGGGGGACAAATAGACTCATCAATCAACTTTGGGATAGCAAATTATAAGCTATTAGAGAAAAAAATCAATCAGATTACAGAAAAATATCAAAAAGGAAATAAAAAAATACTTTCTGTTATAAAGAAACAACACCAACTAAAAAAACAGTAATCGATGATACCCTAAAATAGAACAGCTAGAACTGTAGTAAAACTAGCATGTTCCATGTCTAGACAAGATCATCAGATACACAACACTTCTTGTAGCCACAACTTCAGACATCTACCACTAGACTCAGTCACATGATTATTGGTGCCAATTTTAGCAACAGTACATCTAATGCTTCTTATAAACATGCATTGCATTTAGTAAAAAAAAAATTTATGTGTAGTTGCTGAAATCATTTGTTAGAAGTGTAATGCTAAGGGAGGTCACCCAATTAAAATAAAATGTGTAACACGTTTTAAAACAATAAATATCACAAGAAAATAAATGACAGAAAACACTGAAATAACACTTTTTCACAATAAACAATTGAAACTGCCAAGCAACTTTGAACAAATTGTAAGACAGAGCTGAAATGAAAAGGCTGAAGAGGACAAATGAAGTAGCTGTTGATCAAAGCATGACACCTTCAACATCTTACCATCTCCATGGGGAAAACAGCACACAAACAAGCACTGATACCAAACATTGACTACAAGAGTTGTCAAACCTTGGGACTAGAGCAGAGTTCATTACCTTGTCAAAAGATGTGTCCAGGGGAGAGGCACTCCCTCCACGCTCCAGTGAGATGCTGTCTTCCCCTACAAGAGCAAGCATAACATGTCTTAGATATTTCTTAATGGCATGTTGCAGTAGCAGCTTTCATTTCATAACAGTACACATAAGTAAATGAACATCAATCAACTATTTTTTCAAATATAAGAACCAAAGTTTCATATACATGCTTCACATATTTTAAGTAATCCAATTTTATATATATAATCCTCAATTATTAAAATTAAATATTCTTTTTCATGTTTAAAAGAAACAATTTACTTTTTATCAACTTTACATATTTAAAAATAAAATGTTTATGTTAAAATCAGGTGGCTAAAACAATTATTTTAAAAGAAAAAAATTAATTGAAAATATTTAGCACAGAATATTATTATTTAATAAAGATTTTCTATGACTAAAATAACTAAAATGTATTAAAAGTTGAAATATAAATAATGCTTAAAACTGTAACTGTTTGCAAAGATAATAGTTTTAAAAACTTTAAAACTCTCAAAGTGTAAAATAAATATGAAAAGAATAAAAAAGAGAGCAATGTTGAAGCTCTAAAGAAAACGTGTAAATGCTGGTAAAAGAACCAGTTCAGCTAGCAGCCAGCTTTACCTCGGAACTCTTCATCATACGAGTCAACAAAGCTAAGATTGCCAACTTTAAAGTGGGTAGAGGTGAGAGAAAAAAACACGCATTTAAAACATATGATACATCAAAGATGCCAACTTTGTTAATTTGATAAAAAAGGTGATATAAAATGTAAATAGGGTGGCTGTATACCATTACTAATGTAAGCAAGGTGTCAAAATATATTTTTGTAATAGTTATTTGGCTGTAAATTGTAAATATATATTTTAAAATAGCACTAATAAAACTTCTATGTGAAAATTCTATTTTTGGCTATAAACCTACTCCAAGAAAATGTAATTACATTCTAAATTATCAAAATCATCAAAGCAGTGTTAAGGTGTGGCAAAAATAACAGACAAAATCAACAAATTTGTTTGCAGCTGATGATGGTGTTTAAAACTGTACCAAAACTATTGGAAAAACAGAAAAGTTGAACAGTTTTCCAGCTTAACTGCCTAATAAAGTTAAAATAGCTTGTACAACTGCAATCAAATTTCAGTTCCCTTTCAACAGTTACAACAATGTAGACAACAAGAACACAATATCAACTAGTCTTTTAAATACAAAAGTGTGGAGAGGAAGTGGGGGAGGGTAGTCCTGTGTTAATGGTGTGTGCTATTCATGTGTGCAAACTTTTATCTCAACACCCAGCTATGGATTTATCTGAGCACCTCCAGGTGGGGCATGAACTGCCCAGCACTGCCCAGCTCTACAAGCTTTCTACTAGACAATAACAACCTTCCCTCTCATGCCCCATAGTCTAACCCTCAACCATAGACAAAACACAGATGTGTCACTTTCATACTCCAAGATTTTCTCCAGGTCCTGCCAGCACCACGCGTCCCTGTAGACAATGGTACATTACAGTTATCTGGGGGGGGGGGACATCATGACTCACCCCTGCTCCTTTTATTAAAGGGGAACCCAATCTTTTATTTATCTACTGTAAATGGGGCATTGAATGTTTAGTTTTTCTTTCTTTGATACCATGTTAGGGCTATTCAAGATGACATCTTTCATTCTATTCTAAAATTGACACAACCAAGTCTAAACAAGAGCAAGAAGGTTTAACACACAGATGTTCCACCAAAGCTGCAGTTACATGTTCTAATGTTGTCTACAATAGGCAAAATACTGTAGGCGAGCCCACATTTTAGCTTGGCAATCTTGTAAATATATGGACTAATCTCTTAGCTGTTTTGTAGTGGTCAAGTGTAAGTTAGACAACTCCTCTTAAAGGGGAAACAAATAAGTGGTTTCATCCACAATTTTTTTTATATTTTCATTGAAACAATGCAGGGTGAAGCGCTGAGGTCTTTAAGAGGAGTGGTCTAGTTGGTGCCAGGAAAAAGGAAACAAAACAAAAAAACTGCCAGGCGTGTCGGACTTACTACTCATGTTACTGGTTGTACTGAGGTAACTATTGCGCTTCTCATCTGGGGAGGAGATGCAGGCAGGCTATACAAGTATTACAGGCAGGCTATACAAGTATTTCAACTGTAGGCACACACAATTACATATCATGTGTACAGGTGTCTTGAGGAAGGGAGGAGGTAGCTAATGCAATTAAGTAAAGTGCTGGGGTTTTCAAATGTGTATTTTATATAGAAAATTCGGTTAACTTGAACGTGGGAAGTGCACCCCAAAGTTACAGGGTAATGTATAAAATACTTGTGGTATTTGTGTCTTACAAGAAGGATACAGTGAATTGTTCTAACAATGTGATCTGCAGCTTGAAAATTTTCTGTTTTGTGCAAGCACACAACACACATTAATGTGAATGAAAAAATAATGACAACAGCTAAAGCTAATTAATATTTCATCCATGTGTGGTGATTCACAAAATAATTCACTCAACAAATGCTTCATTAATAAAGTCCATAATTCAATGCTGTTTCACTGGATTTTCTATCTAACAAATGTTTCATTTGGCATATCAGTATAATAGTATAACAATGATAATAGTATAACAATGATACATTATAAAATGCTTTATTGTTTAATTTAAAAGAATGAAAAAAGGGAGTAAGGTGTGTTATGAATTGAAACAAAGCAGATCAAGTAGTTGATGTATCTTCTATCTAATTTAGCTGAACATTCTTCCTGTGCATGGGGGAGGTGTGTAAGAAACTTTCCATAATCTATTCTATTTGTGCAAGAACATGCATAAAAAAGGCTTTAATTAAAAAAAAATAATAATTATAGCAAAATAAAAAGATTCAAACAAAAGCAATAAAAAAATATGTAAGTTTGTGAATAAGATTTTTTCATGAAGCACAATATAATGCATACAATGTATTTTTAAGCTTATAATTTAGAAGTTTTATCTGAAGGGGTGGGCTGATATAAAATTAACATTCAATACCACACTGAGAAATAAAGACAGATCAAGCTGTAAAGTAAAACATCCAGTTCTGTCAAGCAATAAGTGAAGTGTCACATACTGAAATAGTGAAGCTTCACAAAATGAAAAGTGAAGCTTCACATCTCCAAGCAAAAAAAACAAGATGGCATCAGGCAACAGCCAAGGTGAAGGTCAGGTGACATTCAACAGCTGACAGACACAAAGAAGTGGGGAGGGACTTACTGTTGTGGATCTTCTGCCCCTCGTAGTAGGGCAGGTAGACGTGTTGCTCAGACAAAGGTTTGCCAAAGATGGGAGATTGGGGCAAAAAGTCATCTGCTAGCATTAGGAGCAGGTGGGGAGAAAAAAGGCAGTCAATATTAAGTCACAGAAAGCTACTTTTATACACAAAGTCAGAGAATATTAATAGAACAGAAACTTGATTCTATTTGAAGTTTTATGCAAAAAAATATTCTGCAGCATTCATGAAGTCTGAGGTACCTGGGCCGACAGAAAGACAGATTAACCAGATATACTTGATTTACAGAGCAGAAATATCCCAAACAAAACTTACACCCATGAAATATAATAATAGATAAAGTGATAAATTAGATCAATAAATTTGCATGCAAATATATTTTGTGAATTTAAAATATAAATTATTTTTGAGCAATGCCAAATTTATTTGTTGTAATATTAATATCTTTATTTTTGTACATTTTTTGTAGGTTTTTTAAACCAAGTTTTGTTTTTATATTCTTTAAATAATTTTGCTTTCATCAATAATATAGCATCAATAATTTTGCTTTGATCAATAATAAAGCATCAATAATTTTTCCTTCCTTATTTGATTATAGCAATGCTACATTTCACAATATAATTATCCTCCATATAATTTGAAGCTGAGTTGAGTAAATATGTTAGTGGAGTATGAGGGGAGATAACTATATATTTGTTGTATATGTTTAGATCTGGAGCTACCTCCACCCATTGTGTCCCTTGTTTTGTGCCATCCATCAGCTAAGTAAACTTTGTCACTGGGAGAGCGACCCAGACCTGTGGATCCTTAGAGACACATGCAGCCATTAGACACCATGGTAGAGCAGTTGTCTGCAGCAATCTAGCCACTACTCCATTTACAACTATTATATAGTTAAATACATAATCCATCCAATAATTTTTTACAAAATATGATATAGATTTCTGCATTAAACTATCTGATACCCCATTACCAACTAGTATATCATTTTCTACATGAATTTATCTAATACTCCATTATATACTTTACTGCATTAAACTAACCAATACAACATTCTAAACTATTGTTGAGGAGTTTTTTGTATAATTATATCTGTTATCTAGTATTGGATATTTTTTCCCTTTAAAATGTTGATGAGAAAAAATGTTTCATTTGCTATATCTTACCTTGAAACTTAAAAGTAAAGTATAAACTTTGTGTATACTTTACAATTTTTATTCAACATAAATGTATAAACTAAAAAAATGTTGCATAAAAATAAAAAGGATGTATATAAATAAAGTATTTAAATATTTCTTGGTTATATATTTTTTAGATGAAGAGCAAAAGCAGGTGGTTTTTTCAACTCAGGTTTTTTTTTAAATTGGAAAATGTTTGTATTATTCATGTCTCATAAAGGGAGGAAAAAGATTCCTTATAAAAGAAATCGTTGCACCATAACAAATGATCTTGAGCTGACCAACCCCTCTCAATCTGATAGTTTATTTAACCAAAACTTCTTATCTAACTTGAACCCAACTACATAATGTAACTTTAGCCCAACCATGCTATCTAGCTTGAACCCAACCGTATTATCTAACTTGAACCCAACCACATAATGTAACTTTAGCCCAACCATGCTGACTTAAACCCAACCATGTTATTTAAGGTTAGCTGTTTGATTACAACAATGAAGTGGTTAACACATTAACTCTGGTTAAAACATCACTTTTTGTATTAGATCTGTTTGCATTGTTTATCACTGATCCAGGGAGATTGAGGAAAGGTGTGGAGATAGATCACCTTTCCCCATCTGCTGACCACATCCTTTTGTAAAGCAGAAATCCTGTGATACACTCTGACTTGTAGCCACAAGAATCATTGGAAGGAAAAAACCCAGAAAAATTGGGATTTTGGAACTATTTACATGAAAGAATTTAAAATCCACAGCACAGAAAGGTTTTAACATTAGAATTGTATTAAACATTGACTGGGTATATAGATGTTTAAAATATTGTTAGCCAGGATTTGTCCCTAGCAAGTCTTCTGTTATAAACCTGTATTCTATGAGTGTACATTCAAGTCAGGGTGTAACACAGATGGGGGGTGTCAGGGTGGGGCACTGGTTGTTGCAGGTAGAATATAAAGACTGGGCCAAAAGATGGTGGTGTTACCTCCAAATGTACTTATTGTCAGACTTCCGTACTGCAGACTGCGATATGAACCGACAAAGCTGCTTCCTTTAGGTATTTTATAGTGGTAAAAGTTAGAGGAATCAAGTAGGGAGTGGGGGCGAGGGGTAGGGGGGGGGGGGTTGAGGGAGGGAGGGGGGGTTAAAGCTTGGAATGCTCAAATAACATGGAATTACAAATGGTTCTAGGTTGCATAAATCATAGGAATAATAATGTATCAAAAAAATTTCTGCACACAGTTTGGACAGAACATTTGAGTAGTAAGGTGACAGTGTAACCTTCAGATCAAACTAATGACGTGAGATGCTCCTAAAACACATCAAATTGTGCTTTTGCTGCAAGTATCACAGGGTGGTCAAAGTACCACAATGCACCAAACAAGGTTTGTTGCTCAAGGCACATTCAAACACAATTAGTAAATCAAGGAAAGGGAACTTGGTCAAGGTAGATTTTAATTGTATACCAGAAAACTGGACTTGGGACAGATAAATGGACTATGGGCAGGTAAAATAAAATTTAGACAAGTAAATGGACTGGTCAAGTAATTGGACTGTGGTCAGGTAACTGGACTTTCATGGGGTAACTGGACTTTGGTAATGTAATTGGACTTTGGTCAGGTAATTAGACTTTGGTCAGGTAATTAGACTTTGGTCAACTGGACTTTGGTCAGGTAACACTGGACTGGTCAGGTAACACTGGACTAGTCAGGTAACACTGGACTGGTCAGGTAACACTGGACTAGTCAGGTAACACTGGACTGGTCAGGTAACACTGGACTAGTCAGGTAACACTGGACTGGTCAGGTAACACTGGACTAGTCAGGTAACACTGGACTAGTCAGGTAACACTGGACTAGTCAGGTAACACTGGACTAGTCAGGTAACACTGGACTGGTCAGGTAACACTGGACTAGTCAGGTAACTGGACTTTGGTCAGGTTATTAGACTTTGGTCAGGTAATTAGACTTTGGTCAGGTAATTAGAATTTGGTCAGGTAATTAGACTTTGGTCAGGTAATTAAGACTTTGGTCAGGTAATTAGACTTTGGTCCACTGGACTTTGGTCAGGTAATTAGACTTAGGTCAGGTAAATGGACTTTGGTCAGGTAACACTAGATTGGTCAGGTAATTGGACTGTGGTCAGGTAACTGGACTGTGGTCAGGTAACTGGACTGGTCAGGTAATTGGACTGGTCAGGTAATTGGACTGGTCAGGTAATTGGACTTTGGTTGGGCATCAGTGGTGACACATGCCAACACATGCACGTGTGGTGTTAAGGCACACACCAGGCATTGGGATAACACCAGGTCACCATTCAGTGACCAGCAGAGTTTAAACTACCAATGTTGATATCTGATCATATAAATGCCCATCAAATAAGTGGGCTTTATTCTTTAATTTTAAATTTTTTATGTTTTTTATACTGAAAAATAATCAAATGATTAAATTTAAAAAACAGCATTGATCAATGAGAACCAGATCTAGCTAAAACACAGATGATGGGGGTGTGAAGTGGATGATAATCAGACAGGTGTTTAGTAAGACAGAGTGGGGCTAATGAAGAGACATGCAAGGATGGGTTACCTCCTTCGTCCTCAGAGTCTGATATGAAGGTCTCCTGCATGGTCTCAGGGGAGACAACCTTGTACTTATCCTCCGTGGCAGGCATGATGCCCTGGACCTCGGTCACTGGCTTTAGGATCTCAACAACTGAGATGTAGCCTAACCTCTGGGCAATGGCCAGTGGGGTCTGACCATTCTATTCATTGGAAAATTTAAAAAAAATTAATTCTTCAAAATTTACTATTCACACGTAGTTATCAAGCTCACTTAAAAGTAATTGATTCACTATTGATTAACTATGAATAGTTCTACAGAAGTAAGAACGCTGCACAACCACCTCCTGAAGATTACTTACATTAGTGACAGCATTGGGTGACGCCTGGTTCTTGAGTAGAGTGCTGACCACCTGGACATGGCCCTGTTGGGCAGCTTGGTGAAGGGGAGTGTAACCCACCTAGAGATACATGGACATTTCATCAGCACATTACAATGGTGAAACATCTAATAACAAGATCAACAAATATTTCATCAACACATTACTATAATTAATGGTAATATTTGACTTTGTTTTCATGTGACATACTGCAAAAATCTGACTTGACTGTGACAATGTTAACCTGCCAATCTACACAAAAATAAATCTACAGACACTTATATAAAATGTAGATGATGTTCTCAGCATGAATGACTAGACTGACCTTGGTAGTAGAGTTGACAGACGCCTCGTGGTCCAGCAGAAAACGCACCATGTTGACCTGGCCAAAGTGACACGCTGTGTGTAGCGGTGTGTACCCAGCCTTAGTGCTGGTGTCTGTCTCGGAGCCGTGTTTACACAGAATCTCTGCCACCTGGACACGATCCTCTTGGGCAGCCAGATGCATGGGGGTCAGTCCATTCTGGGATAGAAGGTGTGACAAGATAAGCAATACAAGTCACTCATTCTTTGCTTTTCTCACAACTGGATTCAATTTTAATAACTGAAGCTTACTTTTTTTTTACCATTTTCACAAGTAAACCTTACAGTCTTGCCGAAATTCACAACAAAAACAAACTACAGTTCCTGCCACACTAGCCCCTACCAGTTGCTACCTCTAATAGTCTCTACCTGTACTTACATGAGCTGTAGAGTTGACATTAGCCTGTTTCTCCAGCAGTAAGGAAACAATGTCAGTGTGACCCTCTTGTGCAGCAAGATGCAGAGGAGTGAAGCCATTCTTAGACTCAGCGTCAGGCTTGGCGCCATACTCCAGCAGCATGGTGGCAATGTCCATCTGGTTTTTCTTGGCCGCGATGTGCAGGGGGGTGTAGCCATTCTGTGGGGGGGGAGGGGGGGGGGGAGAAAAATCAATCAACACAATAAATGTTTTGTCACTTGAATACAGGTGAGAAATATTGCAGGTATTACTTGAATTCAGTAGGAAAAACTTTGTTTGGACAGTAGTTGAAATAAGTGACAGCGAGGTGTCACATGTCAGACAAGAAGGTTTACCTTGGCAGTAGCATGAGGGTTGGCCTTGTTCTCAAGCAGCAGCTGGGCCACATTAGCATGGTTGTAGTGAGTGGCCACATGTAGAGGGGTCAGGCCATTCTTGCCACTGATGTCTGGGTTGGCCTCCTTCTGTAGCAGCAGGCGGGCCACCTTGATGTTCCCGTACTTGGCCGCGATGTGAAGTGGTGTGAAGCCTTTCTGTTGAGCCACAAACAGTTGACATGTTAACAAAACACTACAGCTATTTTCTGATGGTATTAAACAACAAATTAGGTTTTAAAATAATATTTAGATTAGCTTTAAAAAGATAGAAAACTGGCAACTCCATAAATTAGTTTTGTCAAACGCCAGAAAAATTAACAATTAATCTGATGACCACTGGTCTAGCGGCTGAGCTGACCACTGGTCTAATTACCGAGCTGACCGCTGTTCTAGCAGCTGAGCTGACCACTGGTCTAGCAGCTGAGCTGACCACTGGTCTAGCAGCTGAGCTGACCACTGGTCTAGCAGCTGAGCTGACCACTGGTCTAGCAGCTGAGCTGACCACTGGTCTAGTAGCTGAGCTAACCGCTGGTCTAGCAGCTGAGCTGACCACTGGTCTAGCAGCTGAGCTGACAGCTGGTCTAGCAGCTGAGCTGACCACTGGTCTAGTAGCTGAGCTAACCGCTGGTCTAGCAGCTGAGCTGACCACTGGTCTAGCAGCTGAGCTGACAGCTGGTCTAGCAGCTGAGCTGACCACTGGTCTAGTAGCTGAGCTGACAGCTGGTCTAGCAGCTGAGCTGACCGCCGGTCTAGCAGCTGAGCTAACTGCTGGTCTAGCAGCTGAGCTAACTGCTGGTCTAGCAGCTGAGCTAACTGCTGGTCTAGCAGCTGAGCTAACTGCTGGTCTAGCAGCTGAGCTGACCACTGGTCTAGCAGCTGAGCTGACAGCTGGTCTAGCAGCTGAGCTGACCGCCGGTCTAGCAGCTGAGCTAACTGCTGGTCTAGCAGCTGAGCTGACCACTGGTCTAGCAGCTGAGCTGACCACTGGTGTAGCAGCTGAGCTGACCGCTGGTCTAGCAGCTGAGCTAACTGCTGGTCTAGCAGCTGAGCTAACTGCTGGTCTAGCAGCTGAGCTGACCACTGGTCTAGCAGCTGAGTTGACCACTGGTGTAGCAGCTGAGCTGACCGCTGGTTTAGCAGCTGAGCTGACCGCTGGTCTAGTAGCTGAGCTGACCGCTGGTCTAGCGGCTGAGCTAACCAAAGATCTACATGTGATCAAACAATAGAAGCAAGACAAAAAGTGCTGTAAAACCTTGGTGGTGATGTCATGTTGGGCTTCATGTTCCAGCAACACCTGGGCCACCTCGTCGTGTCCCTCTTTAGCAGCAATGTGCAGGGGAGTGTACTTGTCCTTGGTGGTGGCATCAACAGAGGCTCCGTGCTGGAGGAGCAGCAGGACATTGTCCACATTGCCCAGTCTGGCAGCAATGTGCAGGGGAGTTTGTTGCTCCTGCAAGCAGATAGGAACAACATGCAATTGGTCTGACAGTTTAGATCCACAAAAAACCATCTACATGACATTACAAACATTTGACATTACATGAAAGTACAATAGTGCACATCATTTGACATAAACTTCACAGCATTATACTTAATTATACATTGGTTTTTACTGCAGTAAATTAACTGTGGTTTTTTTCTTTTCTCAAGTACTTCAACCATGTAAAACAGATTTGCACACGACAACACAGTATAATCCTAGCATTGACTTCAACTGTAGGCGTACCCTAGCCCTGGCATCCACTGTGGCAGAGTTCCTCAACAAGATCCTGATGATGTCGGACTGGTTGGCGCGTGCAGCCAGGTGGAGGGATGTCTCACCGCGTACTGTGGCTGTGTTGGGGTTGGCGTTGTGTTGGATCAGGTAGATGACGATGTTCATGTGACCCATGAAGGAGGCCACGTGCAGTGGGGTTAGGCCAGACTGAAAATTCCAGAAACAGCTATTATAACCAGGAATGTGGGAATATCTCACATGGAACTAGATTTGACATACTAACTCTGCACTGTTGAAAATATTTGATCACTCAGGTCACCTGGTCAGCAGCCAGCTGATACTCTCATCATTAACCATGGCTATAGTGCAGCTACAACCTAAACCCTAACCTAAATCTGATTAAAGTCTAAACACTTATAATGTCTGAAGATGGGTTGAAAAACTAAAAACTAAAACTTAAAATTTTAAAAGGTCTTTACTGCCTCAAATTAAACAAATAACTTTTGAGTGACAGCTGTTTGAAAAGCTAATGTGAGAGTAAAATGATTAACCTCAGTCTTGCTCTCTATGGAGGCGCCATACTTCAACAGCAGCTCCACAACTTTGATGCGGTTCTTCTTGCAGGCAATATGCAGGGGGGTAAAGCCATTCTGTGCACAGATATCATAGGTTATTTGTTAGCAAGGGTAGCTAAATAAGTTCATTTTAAAGTAAAGAAACTTACAATTTGCTCTGGTAATTAAAATAATCATACTTAAAATCATGGAAATCAAATAATAAAGAAATGTTTCAACAACTAGTTTGGCCAGAAATCTTACCAAAGCTCTGGCATTGGGTTCACACTTCCTGTCCAGCAGCAACTTGGCAGTTTTGACATTGCCGCAGTGGGCAGCCACATGGAGAGGGGTCAGGTAGTCCACGGTGACCTCGTTAAGTGAAGCCTTGTGGTACAGCAGCAGACGAGCGCAGTCCTCGTGGTCCCCCTGTGCTGCCATGTGCAGGGGTGTCAGGCCGTTCTGGGGTGGGGAAACAACTGGTGGTTAGCATTCAATGGCTTACATGACTAGCTCAGGGCTAATGGTCTACATTAGATGCATTGTGGTTAGCCTTCAATGGCTTACATGACTAGCTCAAGGCTAATGGTCTACATTAGATGCATTGTGGTTAGCCTTCAATGGCTTACATGACTAGCTCAGGGCTAATGGTCTACATTAGAGGCATTAAATAAATAGCTCAATGTTAAATATCTCCATACAGTGTCTTAAAATATCCTAAAACTTAGAACTGTAATTTGTATTGGTCTTAAAATACTTAATTATCTATATCAATGCTCGTTATTATTATTTTTACGACCACTTTACTAACAATTACATCAGATCATAAAAAGCATCAGAAATGTGTAACTAAAGAGAGCAGAGAACCACAGCATATTTCACCAAAGCCTGTAGAAGCTGTTTACCTTAGTTTTAGCAGAATGAGGGGCTCCTCTCTCCAGTAGTGTGTCCACAACACTCTCATGGCCACTCCTTGATGCACAGTGGAGTGGTGTCAGACCATCCTGGAACACACATTAAACTTCAAGCAACTCACAAGGAAGAGGTTTATAGTAAAACAGCAGGGATTGTGAGACCAGCAGTCTTAACCAAATCTCCCAAATCATGCCTGGTATTTATGGGTGCTGAGTGGGCTCCTAACCATTTATTGAGAAGTTTACCACTGGCATTGCCAGTGTGTGAACCAAGGACTCCTGGGGCACTTGTTATAATATGTGGCCATCCAGACCTTAATCTAGTGCCGCACTAACCCTAACAAACTACATACAGCTAAAGCAAAGAGCCACAGTACAAAACAATTTCCTACCCGTGTCTTCTCATCAATGGTGGCGTTGTTGTCTATCAGCAGGTTGACCATGTTGATCTTACCCCAGCGGGAGGCAACGTGCAGTGGTGTAATGTTGTTCTGGTGACGACAACAACTTGTCAATTATTTTATTCAACAACTTGTCAATTATTTCATTCAACAACTTGTCAATTATTTCTTTCAACAACTTGTCAACTACTTCATTCAACAACTTGTCAATTACTTCATTCAACAACTTGACAATTATTTCATTCAACAACTTGTCAATTATTTCATTCAACAACTTGTCAATTATTTCATTCAACAACTTGTCAACTACTTCATTCAACAACTTGTCAATTACTTCATTCAACAACTTGTCAATTATTTTAATCAACAACTTGTCAATTATTTCATTCAACAACTTGTCAATTACTTCATTCAACAACTTGTCAACTACTTCATTCAACAACTTGTCAATTACTTCATTCAACAACTTGTCAATTATTTCATTCAACAACTTGTCAATTATTTCATTCCACAACTTGTCAATTACTTCATTCAACAACTTGTCAATTTTTTCATTCAACAACTTGTCAATTACTTTTACAAAGTTACTATTTATAAACAAATGCATGATAATTTTTCCTTTAGAAGGTCTAGATAGACTGGTAGTACTTTACCTTGGCTCTAAAATTGACGTCAGCATTTCTCTGTATCAGTAGGTTGGCTACGTTAGTGTTGCCGTAGTGGGCTGCAATGTGTAGTGGTGTGAAGCCACTCTGGTCAGGAGAAGAAGATTTGTTAACATGGTAGGGGGAAGCTTTGAGCTGACACCAGCAAAACATTCAAACACACGGAGATCACATGACCAGTCAAAAGCTACTTCAATCAAAGTCATATGCAAAGCCAATTGACACATTACCACGGACTTTAAACAAAAAACATCTTTCAAGGTGTATGTATAGAAGTATGTATGTTTATATATTTCTTTATATATATATATATATATATATATATATATATATATATATATATATATATATATATATATATATATATATATATATATATATATATATATATATATATATATATATATAAATATATATATATATATATATATAAATATATATATATATATATATATATATATATATATATATATATATATATATATATATATATATATATATATATATATATATATATATATATATAAATACATTAACATACATACTTATACACATACCTATACATACAAAGTTGTAAGCATAAAAATAAAGTACATATATAAATATATATATCAAAATAAATATGTGACTTAAAACAAATATAGAGATGCATGCAAAAATAAAATGATATACACATTATTTCAGTGTTTAAAGGCTTTCTAAATTAAATTAAAATTAAAAACTAGAAAATAGCTCAAGATGAACATTAACGCCATCTTTCATGATGAATTTATGTACGAGCATCAGACAAGATGAGTCTTTAATTTATTTGATGAAGATCCTTGAGCTATTTTTTTTCTCAGTGCTTTTAAAAAAAGTCTAATGCCTGATTTAACAGCATGTTCTACTAACTTTCTAAATGATAAATGTGTCATTCATTGAAAGAACTAAGAGAAACAGCAACAGGCACTTAAAGCATAAAGGTCAGTCATTATTTGTTCTATAATCAAAGGTCAGTTTTTATTTTTTCTACAATCAAAGGTCAGTCATCACTTTTTCTACGATCAAAGGTCAGTTTTTATTTTTTCTATAATCAAAGGTCAGTCATCACTTTTTTTTATAATCAAAGGTCAGTCATCACTTTTTCTACAATCAGTCAGTCATCACTTTTTCTACAATCAAAGGAAAGGTCAGTCATCACTTTTTCTACAATCAAAGGTCAGTCTTTATTTTTTCTATAATCAAAAGTCAGTCATTATTTTTTCTACAATCAAAGGTCAGCCACAACTTTTACTTTCTAGAATGAAAATAAAACCAGAACAAAGATCTTGTCAGATTTGGAGTTTCAAAATGCCAAACAAGAAACTAGTAATTAAAACTGTAACCAAACATTACTGCTACCAGCCAAAGTTCATCTTGGAGAAATCAAACTAGTATGATACTGCAGCCAGCCAGTACATCTTGGGTCTGTCTAACAAGCTAGCACAAAATGACTGCAGTCATACAAATGACTGGAGTTGTCTGCAGTCATAAGAACCAAGAAAGCATGCCAGTAGAAGTACACAATGCTTGAGGGAATAAACACTGAACAAACCTTTGTCGTGTCATTGACTAATCCTCCCTATAGTGTGCATGGAGATATGGAGTAGGTAAGTGTTAATCAGTTGCCCAGGTGGGTTTAAGTTATGCAAGAAAAAGCTTTAAATAACAGATTATTAAGCCCATAACCATAGCTTTTCTTGTGATTAGTTTATATTTATTAGAGTTAAATTATGTAGATGACTTTCATCAATGAAAATTATATTTATTTTGATTATGATGTAGTAAAAAAATTTTTATTTGAGTATGGGGTAGGCCTCACCTTGGTTTGTAGCTCAACACTGTTTTGTTCATTCTGTAGGAGTAGGGCGGCAGACTTGACGTCATCCTTCTTGGCAGCGATGTGTAAGGCAGGCAGGCGGACTTTTCCTTTGGCATCATGCTCCAGCAGGACAGACACCACCTTGTCGTGGCCTTGTTGTAGGGCTACAGCCAGTGGTGTGAAGCCATCCTGTACAACATACATTGGTTTATCAAACTACTTTTAACAGGCAATATTTGGGAAAAATAGGTTTTATTTAGATACATCATTAGGATTATATGTGGCTGAAGTAATGGAGTAATTGACCAATTTAAATCCAGGTGTAAATTCAACTAATCCAGTTGTAAGTTGAACTAATCCAGGTGTAAATTGAATTAATCATGGATTAAATTCAACTAATCCTGGAGTAAATTGAACCAACCCAGATTTAAATTGAACAAATGCAGGTGTAAATTGAACTAATCATTAAGAATTGAACTAATCCAGGAGTGAATTGCACCAATCATGATGTAACATTGAACTAATGCAGAAGTAAAATGAACCAATCATGGTGTACATTGAAGCAATCGACATGTAAATTGAACAAGGTGACAGTGCCATTACCTCAGTAGAGAGCCCTTGGTTGGCCCCCACAGACAAGAGAAACTTGACCACATCTGAGTGACCTTCCTGTGACGCCATGTACAGAGGTGTGAACCCAGCCTAAACAACAGAGAGTGAGTCATGGAGAAATGACATGGGTCTACAGCATTGTGGGCTAGGATAGAACTAACATGGTAGTTTCATCTGGTAAAAACTATATCAAACATGTCGTTTTGGTGACTATATCTCACATCTACCTAAGGTGCCTATATCTCACATCTACCTAAGGTGCCTATATCTCACATCTACCTAAGGTGCCTATATCTCACATCTACCTAAGGTGCCTATATCTCACATCTACCTAAGGTACCTATGAATGTTACCTCTGGTAGCGGAGTATGCTAGTTACACCTGATGCCCTGCTGACCACTCACCTGAGCCTGGAGGTTGACCTGGGCCCCACTGTCCACCAGCTGTTTGACAATCTGCTCATGTCCAGCCAGCGAGGCGATGTGCAGTGCTGTGTTACCTTTCTTGGTGGCGGCCTCTACGTTGGCGCCACGGTTTAGGAGCTCTGTGACAATGTTGATGTGGCCTTCCTTGGAGGCCAGGTGTAGAGCATTCAAGCCATTCTGGGGATCACAAAAACATGGTAAGGTGGGAGGGAAAAAAAGAACTGATTCATTATGTTAGTGGGATCACAGTGTGGTCTGGTGATAAGACATGCACTAGCTACCCAACAGATTTGGGTTCGGTACCCAGGCTCAAGACTGTGTCATCCCCACACCCAACTTCACCACATATCCAAACCAAGTGCACTGAGAGAGGGGAAGTAAGCAGCCATTATTGCTCTGACAAGTTATGCTTGTATTCTCATACTTGTAGAACATACGACTGTTTACCCAAAAGTCTCAAGTTCAGATCCCTGAGCCTATGCAGCTCATCAGGGAAATTAAAGACAGCTGGACTACACTATCCCTTCACATCTCGAAGACACAGCAACAACTCTACTCCATATTCCCATATGGACTGCAAGGTTAAAAAGTTAAACTTTACTCTGAAGTTATCCCTGTATTAGATAGTAGGATTGCTGTCAGTACTTGTCTTGTAGCTGTAACTGTAGCTGGCTCTGAGATTTATAATGTGTAACAACTGTTTGAAGTTGGCAAACCAAACACTGATACAGTCAGCAATGTTTACACTGTGACTCATAACAACAATTACATAGGTGACTGGAATAAAAACAACTCATCACACATGTCACTCAACAGCAGCCATAGGCTAGGATATACTGACAACAGAATGGGCCATAGAAGAAGACAAGGATATACTGACAACAGAATGGGCCATAGAACTTAAGACAAGGATATACTGACAACAGAATGGGCCATAGAACAAGACAAGGATATACTGACAACAGAATGGGCCATAGAACAAGACAAGGATATACTGACAACAGAATGGGCCATAGAACTTAAGACAAGGATATACTGACAACAGAATGGGCCATAGAACAAGACAAGGATATACTGACAACAGAATGGGCCATAGAACAAGACAAGGATATACTGACAACAGAATGGGCCATAGAACAAGACAAGGATATACTGACAACAGAATGGGCCATAGAACAAGACAAGGATATACTGACAACAGAATGGGCCATAGAACAAGACAAGGATATACTGACAACAGAATGGGCCATAGAACAAGACAAGGATATACTGACAACAGAATGGGCCATAGAACTTAAGACAAGGATATACTGACAACAGAATGGGCCATAGAGCTTAAGACAAGGATATACTGACAACAGAATGGGCCATAGAACAAGACAAGGATATACTGACAACAGAATGGGCCATAGAACTTAAGACAAGGATATACTGACAACAGAATGGGCCATAGAGCAAGACAAGGATATACTGACAACAGAATGGGCCATAGAGCAAGACAAGGATATACTGACAACAGAATGGGCCATAGAACAAGACAAGGATATACTGACAACAGAATGGGCCATAGAGCAAGACAAGGATATACTGACAACAGAATGGGCCATAGAACAAGATAATCTATACTGACAACAGAATGGGCCATAGAACTAGACAATATATACTGACAACAGAATGGGCCATAGAACAAGACAAGGATATACTGACAACAGAATGGGCCATAGAACTTAAGACAAGGATATACTGACAACAGAATGGGCCATAGAACAAGACAAGGATATACTGACAACAGAATGGGCCATAGAACAAGACAAGGATATACTGACAACAGAATGGGCCATAGAACAAGACTAGGATATACTGACAACAGAATGGGCCATAGAACAAGACAAGGATATACTGACAACAGAATGGGCCATAGAACTTAAGACAAGGATATACTGACAACAGAATGGGCCATAGAACAAGACAAGGATATACTGACAACAGAATGGGCCATAGAACAAGACAAGGATATACTGACAACAGAATGGGCCATAGAACAAGACAAGGGTATACTGACAACAGAATGGGCCATAGAACAAGACAAGGATATACTGACAACAGAATGGGCCATAGAACTTAAGACAAGGATATACTGACAACAGAATGGGCCATAGAACAAGACAAGGATATACTGACAACAGAATGGGCCATAGAACAAGACAAGGATATACTGACAACAGAATGGGCCATAGAACAAGACAAGGGTATACTGACAACAGAATGGGCCATAGAACAAGACAAGGATATACTGACAACAGAATGGGCCATAGAACTTAAGACAAGGATATACTGACAACAGAATGGGCCATAGAACAAGACAAGGATATACTGACAACAGAATGGGCCATAGAACTTAAGACAAGGATATACTGACAACAGAATGGGCCATAGAACAAGACAAGGGTATACTGACAACAGAATGGGCCATAGAGCAAGACAAGGATATACTGACAACAGAATGGGCCATAGAACAAGACAAGGATATACTGACAACAGAATGGGCCATAGAGCAAGACAAGGATATACTGACAACAGAATGGGCCATAGAACAAGATAATATATACTGACAACAGAATGGGCCATAGAACTAGACAATATATACTGACAACAGAATGGGCCATAGAACAAGACAAGGATATACTGACAACAGAATGGGCCATAGAACTTAAGACAAGGATATACTGACAACAGAATGGGCCATAGAACAAGACAAGGATATACTGACAACAGAATGGGCCATAGAACAAGACAAGGATATACTGACAACAGAATGGGCCATAGAACAAGACTAGGATATACTGACAACAGAATGGGCCATAGAACAAGACAAGGATATACTGACAACAGAATGGGCCATAGAACTTAAGACAAGGATATACTGACAACAGAATGGGCCATAGAACAAGACAAGGATATACTGACAACAGAATGGGCCATAGAACAAGACAAGGATATACTGACAACAGAATGGGCCATAGAACAAGACAAGGGTATACTGACAACAGAATGGGCCATAGAACAAGACAAGGATATACTGACAACAGAATGGGCCATAGAACTTAAGACAAGGATATACTGACAACAGAATGGGCCATAGAACAAGACAAGGATATACTGACAACAGAATGGGCCATAGAACAAGACAAGGATATACTGACAACAGAATGGGCCATAGAACAAGACAAGGGTATACTGACAACAGAATGGGCCATAGAACAAGACAAGGATATACTGACAACAGAATGGGCCATAGAACTTAAGACAAGGATATACTGACAACAGAATGGGCCATAGAACAAGACAAGGATATACTGACAACAGAATGGGCCATAGAACTTAAGACAAGGATATACTGACAACAGAATGGGCCATAGAACAAGACAAGGGTATACTGACAACAGAATGGGCCATAGAGCAAGACAAGGATATACTGACAACAGAATGGGCCATAGAACAAGACAAGGATATACTGACATGAAATGAAAGTGAGTCAGAACTTTACAAATGTAAAAAGAGATATGTTAGACAAATTGAGCCAATTAGTCTAGAACACAGGAGTTCCATTTTTAAGTAGACGCTGCTGGATCAGAGGTCATATCATCAGTTTAATGCTGGGGGATCATGGGCCACCTCACATACAGTTTAACATTGGATGGGCCATCTCATACACACTATGCTACAGATGTCATGACTGTGATGCCATGTCATGTGCTACCCACTTTGCTACAGATGACATGTGTATGTCATGACTGTGATGCCATGTCATGTGCTACCCACTATGCTACAGATGTCATGACTGTGATGCCATGTCATGTGCTACCCACTTTGCTACAGATGACATGTGTATGTCATGACTGTGATGCCATGTCATGTGCTACCCACTATGCTACAGATGTCATGACTGTGATGCCATGTCATGTGCTACCCACTATGCTACAGATGACATGTGTATGTCATGACTGTGATGCCATGTCATGTGCTACCCACTATGCTACAGATGTCATGACTGTGATGCCATGTCATGTGCTACCCACTATGCTACAGATGTCATGACTGTGATGCCATGTCATGTGCTACCCACTATGCTACAGATGACATGTGTATGTCATGACTGTGATGCCATGTCATGTGCTACCCACTATGCTACAGATGTCATGACTGTGATGCCATGTCATGTGCTACCCACTATGCTACAGATGTCATGACGGTGATGCCATGTCATGTGCTACCCACTATGCTACAGATGACAGGTGTATGTCATGACTGTGATGCCATGTCATGTGCTACCCACTATGCTACAGATGTCATGACTGTGATGCCATGTGATGTGCTACCCACTATGCTACAGATGTCATGACTGTGATGCCATGTCATGTGCTACTCACTGGGTTGCTTGTGTTGATGTCCGTGCTCCCCTTCAAGTAGTCCAAAACTTCCTCCAAGTTCCCATCACGAGCTGCCCTCAAAAAACCTGCGTTACCATCAGTCTGTGGAGCACACAAATGGTTGGACACTTAATACAATGGCTTCTAGCATGGCATTAATTGATAAAATAACAGGGCATTTATTGATAAAATAACAGGGCATTCATTTGATACATTAAATTAAAAATATTATAATTCTCTGCATTCATAAATCTATTTCAACACTGTACTTCCATTTGCAAACAATGTTTTAAGAATGTTTTAATACTAATGTGTAGCTGTTAGTATTTTATCATTGGGAATGAGTCTAAAACAAAAGGGCACACTAATCTAGCTCTAAATGTTAAGTCAGGTGTCAGATGAAAGTCCAAATATTTGTCACACTCAAATGTTTCAAAGTTTAAACACAATCATTATATTTTGTTGAATGTATTGTGTGTAGAATGAGAGTGAGTATTTATCTATATTTTGAAACTGTAGCAGTCATAAATCTCTTGTGAGAAAATATGGTAAAGTTCTGAAATAAACTTCAGCTGGAGTTGGCTCAACAATTTTGTATCAGGGACTGTGGTTGGTTCAACAATTTTGTATCAGGGACTGTGGTTGGTTCAACAATTTTGTATCTGGGACTGTGGTTGGTTCAACAATTTTGTATCTGAGAGTGTCATTGGTTCAACAATTTTGTACCAGGGACTGTGGTTGGTTCAACAATTTTGTACCAGGTAATGTGAAGTGTAAAAACAAAACAAATTGAGCAGGGTAGAACACATAAAGCCCTGAGTGCTATTATTTTAGCAAGCATATTAAAGGTAATGCTAACACATCCACTCAGTGTATCAAAAGAAAGCTTGATGGATACAGCATTACATAATTATATGTACTTTTTGTAGGCCCACATAATGTAGCTTAAACAAGACAACTCTATATACCAACAGAACCCCCACATAATGTGACTTCTGCAAGCCCACATAATGTGACTTCAGAAAGCCTACTTTATATACAAATAGAACGCACATGATGTAGCTTCAGCAAGCAACCCCCCCCCCCCCAAGCAAGCCCCCTCAGTGCCTCCATGAGTATTGATCCCCCCCCCCCCCCCGTACATAGCGAGGTGGGCTAGAGGTCAGCAACCGGCTTAGGTTTGGGGTGGCCAATCGATGTCAGGGAGGGAAGAAATAATCAATGAGCTGGCGAGGGACCAACTGTGGCCTGATGAGGTGGAGACACAATCGATTGTCGTCTACTACATGTACCCGGCTACACAAGGGGGAAAGTAAAGGTCCTCGTGAGTCTTACATGGTGCTGGCCTGTTTAGTATAGATTGTGTTGAGTCTTACATGGTGCTGGCCCTTTGGCCTGATCGTTGGTAGACTACAGCAGAGGGCAAGGTCAGATACAATGATTAACTGACATGGTCACGTCCGGTTCCCAATGTTTTAGTAGACTAGGGTAAGACAATATTGAGTGCCCTATGCTATAATATAGGGCATGGCTTTATACAGTTCTCAATGTTGAAGTATCGAACAAAACTATATACTGACCCCAATGTTATAGCATAGGTACAGGGCAAGGCTATATACAGATCGCAATGTTATAGTATAAGTATAGGCAAGTCTATATACAGATCCTAATGATATAGTATAGGTATTATAGACAAGGCTATATACGGATCACAATGCTAGAACAAAGGTATAGCGCAAGTCTATATACGGATCCCAATGTTATAGTATGAAAAAATTCTACATACAGTACCTAATGTTATGGTATGGGACAAGGCGATAGTGGGGCTAATGTTACAGAATAGTTATGGCAATGTAAAGTGCTCACTGTTATCGTTTAGGTAAAGCGATATCGAATGCTCAATGTTATACTATAGGGTAAGGCAATTAATAGGCAGTGCTAAATGTTAAGGGATAGAGCAGCATATAGGACTAATGTTATATGGCAGTATAGGGACAGGCAACATATCGAGTTGGGAGCACATATCAGTTTTACAACAGGAGGAATGGATTGAACATTACCAGCAATAAAACGTTACGATACATTAAAGGTACAGCCGTAAACACAATCTATCATCGTTAGGGTTGGGGTTTGTTGTTAGGGTAATGATTAATCTAGCCTGAAATGGTAGCACATTAGCTTGCCAAATGCATAAGGGTTGGGGTTTGTTGTTAGGGTAATAATTAATCTAGCCTGAAATGGTAGCACATTAGCTTGCCAAATGCGTTAGGGTTGGGGTCTGTTAGGGTAGTAATTAATCTAGCCTGAAATGTTAGCACATTAGCTTGCCAAATGCGTTAGGGTTGGGGTCTGTTAGGGTAATGATTAATCTAGCCTGAAATGTTAGCACATTAGCTTGCCAAATGCGAGCCTGTAACGCAGCCAGAAACTGGCATCTTATTGACGCCAGGGGAAAGTGGCCTCTAGCCAGTGGTCCAAACAGATCGATCGATCGATGTCTGGGGCACCTTACACTGCTAGCCGACACAGTAACGGCATCCACCACTTGCTGGCTGAGTCGTGTTTCATACATCAAACTCATGTTAGGGGATAAACTTGACATAATCATCAACAAAACACTGTCAACCATCAACAAAACATTGTCAACCAGAGACAGGCAAGTAAAGCTTGACCAGACACACGTCACTTGCTGACATACAACTTACACAACCCAACAAGATAAACAGTAGCCTGTAAGGTACTGTTCAAAACATCTCAAGTTAAACATCCAAAACTATTTTTAAAATGCGTAGACTATTTCGTATGTCTCCTGTTTCAAGGTAGTTAGTCAAACTTCCCAAACAAACCCAACTCTTCCCTATGTATCCGACACTCCCCACCACCCAACAAACCCAACACAACCATACACAACTGTCCCGCCACCCTACACAAGCCCAATTAAAAGATGACACACGTCATGTCGGTGACAGATAAACAAAGGCAACAACTCACCATGTCTGACAATCACACACCTATCCAGGTTCAAATCAACGAAATCAGGGGCACGTTTAAATCATTAATTAATTAGTTCACCGTACACGCTAACGAGATGAACAGTATCTACAGCCATAAACATGTGTAGGACAGGTAATGGGCCGCGCTAGTAAAGGTGTGTATCGGCTGCTGGTGTGTAGGTTATCACAGAACAATGTGCTCTGATTGTAGTCCAGGTCATTGTTTTATCCAGGTCATTGTTTTAACCGGGTCACCTGGTGCGACACTGATACAACAAGGGAAAACAAACAACGTTTGAACACACCTCGGCGCTGGTCGACACATTTGGGACATCCGTTGACTATAGTGGCATTTGGTAGTGGCATTAGTTGTCTAATGACAGGTGAGATGTATGAAAGTTATATGGCACCAACTTAGATAACGGGTGAAATTGTTAACTGCGTTAGGTGCAGACTATTTGCAGCCGTCAACACAAGAGAAACTTTAGATCAGAGCTGTCGGATACAAGGGGGATGGGACATGGGGAAATGACACTGTCGCAGAGTGAGAGCAGAGGTATTCAATACATTTGTATTATGGCAAGTGACACGAAAATACAGTGACAGTGTAACCAACAAACTAAAACCATGACACAGTCACAGCCACCACAGTGACACAGTGACATCATGGTGGCATCACGACAACACAATGACGCCATACCCAAGACACTGACGTAATCAATCACCATAACTGTGACACTTCCAGCTAGTCTAGTACGAGCTTTATCAGCTGACCCGCTGGTGTGGCATAAAATACCCAGGATCAGAGCTAATGATGGGGGTTATTGAACGCTGACAATATTTTAACTACTTGAAGGTGTGGGGTGCTATTCGGACGCTGACAATATTTTAACTACATGAAGGTGAGAGGTGCTATTCGGACGCTGACAATATTTTAACTACATGAAGGTGAGAGGTGCTATTTGGACGCTGACAATATTTTAACTACATGAAGGTGTGGGGTGCTATTTAGACGCTGACAATATTTTAACTACATGAAGGTGAGAGGTGCTATTGGGACGCTGACAATATTTTAACTACATGAAGGTGAGAGGTGCTATTGGGACGCTGACAATATTTTAACCGATGAAACGCATGCAAATATTCGTGACAGAATAAACATAAGCGGACTAGTAAGAAAACGATGTAGATCTATAAATATTCTTGACTGAGAAGATAAATCAGGTTTCAGTTTCTGTTTCACCTGACTGTCCAATCAGAAAATCATGTCGTCCGTGTCGAGTCATAGAGTCAGATAAATGCCGTAAATCTACACAGTCATGTACCTGTGTCAAGCCAAAGTCACGTAGTAGCCCACAAGGTTACATCCATGGTTAGCAAGAGACCGCCTCTAGACGCTCTAAGACCTCTAGAGACGTGAGACCTACGGGTTCTCACACTAAGGAGAAGCCTACCACATGCCGTGTGACGAATGAAACAAGGACATGTAAACCTGCCAGCTAATGCACGCTGGCTACATGCTCAACATCCATGTTTACCTGCTTGCGTGGGGCGCTCATCTCTGTACCGCTGTCAACAAAACCCAGGACCTACACAAGAATTGAATCCTAGACTAGCAACTTCACATCTTTTAGTACACACAACAGTAGATAGCGAGAGATAGTGACGAAATCGAAAGTCCTAAAAGTCCACACACACACAACAATCAAGGTATGCGAGTAAATAGATCAGTGACGTGAGCTGCTCCCGTGTGTTTCCACAGGTAACGCAGGTGTGTCGGTGATTCCAGAATATCCTGGAGATAATGCCGAGTCTCTGGGTTTTGTATCAGCGTTATGAGCGTGTGAGTGGGACCACACCAGCCACCTCAAGCGTGTGAGTGGGACCACACCAGCCACCATTAGACACACCTACAGCGTGTGAGTGGGACCACACCAGCCACCATTAGACACACCTACAGCGTGTGAGTGGGAACACACCAGCCACCATTAGACACACCTACAGCGTGTGAGTGGGACCACATCAGCCACCATTAGACACACCTACAGCGTGTGAGTGGGACCACACCAGCCACCATTAGAGACACACCATCAGCGTGTGAGTGGGACCACATCAGCCACCATTAGACACACCTACGCGCTAACCAATCACACCTACACGTGCTACACTTGTCATTTACTGGGGAAATTGAAAGATGAGTGCTCACTACTACGTACACGGATTACACATTGCCTGACCCAGTTTCTATATTTAGATCGAGAAAAAAATCGATACGTAAAAATCCGACATTTTTAATCAATTATCAGCTATTGATAAGATGACTAGGCCATAGTTGTTTGTTGACCTGCATGTATTAGGGGTGAGAGGGGTAGGTCAGCTGAGTACTCACACAAATTGTGCTCGTTGTTTTCATGTCATGTTACAGCACAATGAAACTAGGTCACATTTACAGTGAGCAGAGCACCGCTAAACACGCGTCAGTGTTGAGGTAAGGCGGGGGACGGGGGGGGGGGGTCGTTTCATGTGATCCAGGGTACTGCACTGTACACTATGTGCTAAATCAACGCACTATAAACACAGCAGAATGATTGCACACTAAGTGGAGCGCATATTTTGATGACGTCATGGTAGAAAGGTTTCAGTGAACTATTGTGAAGAGCAAACAATCAACCATTGTTTTGATTTGTGTTTTCAGCTGAAGGTATACGGAAGTAAAATTGTTACAAAAGCGGGATCATACAGGGCCATTGTCCAGCACACGTGACCCCAGGTCAGGTGATGACTAGATCAGCTGGACACCACGGTGTCACGTAGCAGGAGTGTCGTGGTCAAGCTGGTCAGGATCACGTGAGCAGGTGGGAGAAAGAAACAACAGCCACGACCAGAATAGAGCCAGCCCCTACCTTACAGCGAATCGATCGATACCCACAAGACGTGAGGGGGTGGGTGAGGGAGATGGTGGAGGGGGATCAATGAATCGAGTACTAGGTGGTGATTTGTGAGTCATAGCTAGTAGATGACAACCAACAAAAAGATTTCAGTCTTTGTAGCAAGTCATACACTGGGGAAACTACAACCATTATGTGAGCAATACGACGACATAAACATACTACGACATATACGCGCTGAGAGAGATCGATCAGTGACGTCACTCATTAGTAATGAAAGAGCTGGAGAAAACATGTCGGCATGAGCAACCGTTTGTCACCCTATCCCTCGGCCTGGCTCAACTAACATGGGTTCTAAACACGTGAAATAAACGTACGAGCCGTGTTCCTATGTCTGTTCCTATGTTAACTACGGCAACTAACTAGACACGAGAGGGTTAAGAAAATGATCTCTACCTTGTGATGTTTAGGCGGCGACTGAGGCTGCTCAGCCATCATGTTCGGCTCTGGCGATTCCGTCAGACGTAACAAGTGCTCCTTGAGACGGTCAACAAATCTCTGCCTGCTCAAATCCTCGATCTACGTCCAGCTAGTGTCCGTGCCCTCAACTTTTCCAATGAGCCCAAATGTCGTGTCCACTGCGCCAAAGCGCGATATCTGACGGTGTTGTCCTGTCAGGCTAGGGAGGCATAATGCATCTCCCGGTGTCACACAAGGCTGAAAGACGCGCTCCGATTGGCTGGAGCTGATTATGTCTGCATAACTTAAAGCCGATAGTCAATCTTAAATGGCACCAGAAGCGGGGCCGGCAACAGTCGGGTGGCCACAAGGAGTGAGTCACGCGTCTACAGATCGCTCACACTCACCGGATATCGATCTAGGAGCGCTGACACACAACAGCCGGCTGTAAACAGCGCTCGCTCTACACGCGCGTGTACAACAGGTCGTCTATTGCTAGAGAGATTCTACACGGCGTCTGACGTTCAACAATCGTGTACAACACATCGTCCGGCGTCCGACAAACGACAATATGTCTCGTAGATTAGGAACTGGACGGACACAATACAACAAATAATGTAACATCAGTTCGACAAACGACATACAACAAATAATGTAACATCAGTTCGACAAACGACATACAACAAATGATGTAACATCAGTTCGACAAACGACATACAACAAATTAGGCAGCATCAGTTGGACTCGACCCCCACTTGTAATAGCCTAAACAATGTGTAGACATGCATAGGACAAGGACAAATATCTCTGATTAGTTTAATTAGCGGTACTACAGGTAAGCAAGACGGGAGAAAAATGGCAGGAACATGGCGGCTTTTTGGCTTCTGCTCTGTAAACTAGCATCGCCAGGCTGTCTGCGGAGTGCCAAGACAAGATGTCCGCGATTTAAAGGGAGCCCAAAAGTATTGACTGTAGGTTCGGCTTGATGGTGGCAAGAAATAATTGGTGGTATATAGGCAAGAAATAATTGGTGGTATATAGGAAAGAAATAATTGGTGGTATATAGGCAAGAAGTAATTGGTGGTATATAGGCAAGAAGTAATTGGTGGTATATAGGAGAGAAGTAATTGGTGGTATATAGGCAAGAAATAATTGGTGGTATATAGGCAAGAAGTAATTGGTGGTATATAGGCAAGAAATAATTGGTGGTATATAGGCAAGAAGTAATTGGTGGTATATAGGCAAGAAGTAATTGGTGGTATATAGGCAAGAAGTAATTGGTGGTATTATAGGCAAGAAGTAATTGGTGGTACATAGGCAAGAAGTAATTGGTGGTATATAGGCAAGAAATAATTGGTGGTATATAGGCAAGAAGTAATTGGTGGTATATAGGCAAGAAGTAATTGGTGGTATATAGGCAAGAAATAATTGGTGGTATATAAGCAAACAAGAAGGAATAATTGGTGGTATATAGGGAAAAGATTAAATGGACTGTGGTATATACACAATCAAGAAGAAATGAATGGGGATATATAGGCAAACGGAGGAAGAAATGAAAGGTGATATGTAGGCGATCAAGAAGAAATGAATTGTGGTTTATTATATCTATAAAGAAACAGGCATAAAACCAAAATAAAACAAGATAACAAAACTGAACGCTCTGAATCTGATTCTAGAGAAATAAAAATGTTCAGATATAAAACAGACACGGGTGCTTGGAGGGGGGTGTGGTGAGCGAGTACAGGCGGGGATGGGGTCTGTATGTATGTGAGCTGTTTATCCCACTAGTGTAAGTTCAGCTCAGCTATGTACACGAACAGATTTGTAGCTCCCCCCCCCCAGTTCTGTGGGTTAACGGGCTGTGTGACCTGCACATTGTGTGACGTCATGGTCAAGTGTTGTGTACAAACAGCAAGAACCAATTGCTGTCAGCACAGCTGCATGTAAGGGTGCTACTGCAAGTTTGGCATTGGGGTCAAAGGTCAACTGTCAGCTGCATGGACGGGTGCTACTGCAAGTAATGGTGCTACTGCAAGTTTGGCATTGGGTCAAAGGTTAACACTAGGGGACGTGGGCCTTTGCAGAGGAGAAAAATTAAATAGTGGACCGACTTAGCCAACTGAAAGAAAAGTCTGTGTTTAAAATGCGGTAGGTTGTTAAAAATACAATTATTGTCAATAGGACCCCTAGTTGGTGAGAGCCGACTTACAAAGGAAAATAACCTACCTATACCGCAACAATCACGCTAGAGCAGGAACTTGCGTGATTTTTTTTTGAGTGGGGTGGGGGGGATGTTACCTGAGAAATGATGCGGGACTAAGGTAAATATGACTATAGCATCTTTTACTTGATAACCACGTCTGTTATATAAAGGAGGAGGTGGGGATGTAAATATGACTATATCATCTAATTACTTGATAACCACGTCTGTTATATAAAGGAGGAGGTGGGGATGTAAATATGACTATATCATCTAATTACTTGATAACAACGTGTATAAGAGATGGGACTATATAGCATCTTATTACTTGATAAAGTTTAAAAACACCGCGGACCGCCAGTAAAAAGCTATATCCCCAGTACCGCTAACACACAGCGCACGGCTAACATAAAAATGTCACTTTTATTGAGCTGCCCGCAGAATCAAGATGCACAAAGAGAAGTAACCGCGTCTAATTGCTTGGCAGCGTTTTCTGTGCTGAGTTACCTTCATCTACTTGTTCATGGTTTCTGTTTCCTACGGCAGGGGTCGACAACTTTTCCAGTAAAGAAAGAATTGATAAGTTACTTTCCCGAACCAATACCTTCGGCTGCCACATTTGGTTTCAATAAGAAATCATTAAGTTAATGATTTCTTATTGAAACTTAATAATTAATGATTAACACTAATACTAGTTGGCTTTATATCCTCCTATCTTTAATAACAAGACATCAATATGCAGCATGTAGACAAACACATCTATTCAAAACGCAGAGAAGTAGAGCCAGGAAATGAATGGGCTTGAAGAGTTTAAAGTTGTTTTATCGTGCTTAGAGAAAGACTCCAGACAAATGGCGTCTATATAATTGCTCAGAGAAGAGCTTAATGTGGGCTCAGGCAGAAAGTTAAGCTCTGTCCTTGTGTAAAGAGGTCGCACTTTATCCAATATGTTTGTCTTTCATTTAGACGAGATAGAATTGGGACAAATAATGCATGGGACGTGTGTTGTTTGTCTGACATAAGATCGTTGTTATAAAGTTTGCCACATAATCCAGTTGTTAGGGAGGTTTGTCTGCCACATAATATACTTGTTAGGGAGGTTTGTCTGCCTTATAATCCCGTTGTAAGGGAGGTTTGTCTGCCACAAAATCCAGCTGTTAGTGAAGTTTGTCTGTCACATAATCCAGTTGTTATGGAGGTTTGTCTGTCAATTAATCCAGTTGTTATGAAGTTTGTCAGCCACATAATCCAGTTGTTAGGGAGGTTTGTCTGCTATATAATTTCGATGTTATGAAGTTTGTCTGCCACATAATCGCATTGATAACGTGGTTGGTATGCCACAGTATCCCATCAGTCAGTGGAGGGAGGTTCCTTGCACATAATTACCCCATCGGTAGACAGGTTTGTCCCATTGTTAAAGAACAAAACTAGCCAACAATACATTAACATGGAGCATGGAGCAAAAGTCGCACAACACATAGAACATGGAACACAAGTAGCACAACACAAGAAACAAGAAACAAAAGTAGCACAACCCATAGAACATGGAACAAAAGTCAAACAACACATGGAACCTAGAACAAAAGTCATACAACACATGGAACACGGAACAAAAGTCAAACAACACATGGAACATGGAACAAAAGTCAAACAACACATGGAATAAAAGTCGCACGACACATGGAACATGGAACAAAAGTCAAACAACACATGGAACAAAAGTCGCACAACACATGGAACAAAAGTCGCACAACACATGGAACAAAAATCGCACAACACATGGAACATGGAACAAAAGTCGCACAACACATGGAATATAACGTGTAAGAAACCGACGTCACTGAGCTTCATCTAACCCAGGGCTAATAAAATCAACACATTTTTGGCTGGATCAATTAATCAAATTATTAGGTGCTATTGATTTCCCTGCTCAACTAAACTCCTCTACATTACAGCTTATACGACTTCTTGCCATAGAGAACAGAAACCAATTTCTTACGCTCAGCCAGTCGCTTGAGGGGGAAATGTTTCTTTTCTCTCAGGTACAACTGTGTCTGTATATGTATGTGTATATATATATATATATATATATATATATATATATATATATATATATATATATATATATATATATATATATATATATATATATATATATATATATATATATATTTGCGTGTATATATATATATATATATATATATATATATATATATATATATATATATATATATATATATATATATATATATATATATATATATATATATATATGCCAGAAAATCTAGACTAATGGCAACAAACCCAGACTGCCGGTTTATGCACCGTGTTTTTAAATGTGATCGAACATCGAGTAGTAAAGATTGCTACCCCTATAATAGCTTACGTGCATTGTCTGCTCAGCACTGGCCAAGTGAACGTATCGCTTGTGTATGTCTAGGTTGTGTTTGACTGCAGGCCCAGCCAGGGTTTACTAATGACCGCGTGTTAAAATGTGTTTTATGTCTCGTTCTATCATCAATCAACGTGTTTACGGGAGGAATCAGGACATAATACAGGTCAGCCTCCAACGGTGGATGGAGGCGGAAACATTAAGGCAACCGATGTTGGCTCTTCTCACACAGGGGGAGAAGAGAAATCAAAATGTCTAGGATATAACAGAGATCTGGTAGTCTCAGACTATATAGGTGTCAGGAAATACACGGGACAAAGCACAGATTTAGTTTGTGTAAACAAAGTTTGAATACAGTTTGTTTAGACACAGCGTTGATACAGTTTGTAAAGATATTGGAAGTTTTAATAATTTGTTTGAACATTGTTTAAAATGCTAAAGTCGTTGAATGCGTTTAGGTATATGTCGTTAGTGTTTAGGTGAACACGTTCTAATATTTGAGAATGCTGATGTAAAGGCTGTTTAAAACGTTGAAATAGTTACAAGAGTAACCATCCCCTATGACACCATCCTTGCCAAGTTTGGTCAATGTTTCCCATGTGAAAACATCTTTACCAAGTTTGGTGAATGTTTCCCTTGTGAAAACATGTTTGCCAAGTTTGGTGAATGTTTCCCTTGTGAAAACATGTTTGCCAAGTTTGGTGAATGTTTCCCTTGTGAAAACATGTTTGCCAAGTTTGGTGAATGTTTCCCTTGTGAAAACATCTTTACCAAGTTTGGTGAATGTTTCCCTTGTGAAAACATC